ACGTTGTTGCGCTGCCTGTTGGACTCGATCGCAACGTGAGATTCGCACCGCAATCAGGTCAACGACAAAAACCTGAACGTAGAACTGACCCACGCACCATGGGACCACTGATTGCTCGTAACACTTTTACCGAAACACTTTAGAAGGCCACGCGAAGTGGATCCCAGGTCACTGGAGTCCCGTTGCAGCCGATCGCCCGATGAATGTTTTGAATCGTCGATCTGGAAAATATACTCGGACAAGTTGTCCGGGCAACGTAGAACTCTAGTGCTCTCGATGCTCAGTCCGCTGCAGGTTGCAACGAGCAAACCTGGTCCATGTCTCGACTCGCACACCCCCTGCCTCAGGTGCCAATTGACGAAGGCATGCAAGATCGAGGTGTGGCGATCCCTGGACGGGGTTCTTATCCTCGAGTCCACGTTAACGGTTTACAGCCGAGGCAAAGGGGCAACAGGAGTACTGTCCCTTATATTCAGTCCGTTCATCAACGCCCTTTATGCAATTCCTAGTGCCTCACCATCTCTTTATGCATTCAGTTGTTAATAATACTCAACCAGTGCTGCTTGGAACACCGTGTCCAGCCCATTATATTGGCGGGTCTTGTGCGCAACCACGTGGTTGCCAAGGACCATCGCGTCCCATTTTGTCAAGTCTCCGCTACACAGGCGGGATATGCCACAGCAGCCGACAATTTGCGTCCCCCCCCCCTCTTCATCCCCTTCCCACCCCCCAGGCACCACCACGCAAAGGCAACCCTCTCCACCACCTGGCCCCCCTCCCCAACCACCAGCCTCCGCCAGGCACACACCCCCCCCACGCCTCCCCCCTGCTCGCGCCGCGGCCGCAGCCACAAACCCACGCCGGAGAATCGACGCTCATCCTGCCCCGCATCAGCAGGGGCGAGCCGGTGGTGGCCCCCCACGCGGCCGGACTGCCCGGTTGGCGGTGCTGCCTGCCGGCTGGGAGCCGGTCAAGCAGGTGAGGTTCGCCGATCACCGCCGCCGCCTCGCCGCGCGGGCAGAGCGCACGCGCCCAGTTTTAACTAGCAGAGGCACGATCCCCTGTCGCTCCCTTTGCCACCATTCGCGCCATCGACGCGGAAGCTGCCCGACTCGCCCGGCAGCGTCCCTCCGCGCGTTTGAGTTTTTGGCGTCCGCTCGTGCGGAACTTTCGTGAGCGAGCGTTGACGGCTGCCAGACTTCGTGCAATTCAGGGGTTAGGGCGAGTGGCGATCGGGAGGAGGGAGAATAGGTGGGCGGTGGGCGCATGCTGCGCTTTTGGGATTTGTGCCGTGCGGCCCGATCGGCCCGCGTGGCTCGATGTGCTGGCGGCAGGGGAGGAGGGCGCGGCGCCTTTTCGCGCACCTTGGCGGAAAATCGCTCCTGACGTTGGAAATTTGCGCCTCGTCCGAATGGCGCTGGGGCATGACTATTCGCCAACGAGGCCTTTCGCGAAAATTGGGTCCCGAGTGGCCCCTCCCCTGGCGTGCGCGTCCACGTGGCGATCCTGGACGGCGCGATGCCGGTGGCCAGGCGCACTCAGCTGATCGGAGGGAGCAAACTGAGGGGACCGCGATTGGAGTTTTTAAGGGAGCCACTTGTCGCGGCGTTCGTTCGAATTTTGGCTTTCCTGCGGTGGCACTGGGGCAGCGCGCAGGGGAGCGGATGCCCTCCCCCCACCCCCTTATCCCATTGGATCGGATTTCGGGAGGAGGAGAACTTTGTTTTGGGCGGGAAGGAAGGATATCGAATGCTGACAGGTCGAAACGATAGGGAGTCTCGATCAAGTGCCGCCAAGAGAGATTGCTTGCGTGCTAGCGGCAACTTGTGCACCTGCACTCCTCTTGTCCGTGGCATCTCATGGCATGCTCAGTTCTATTTTTGATCACAGTCATCGAAGTATAACAACTCAATGCCCAACACCCAATTGGTGAGCTGAATTCTCATCCCTTTTGGTCATCCTTGCCATGCAGCTGAACTCCATTGGGCTAAAAGGCAGACTTCAAAGCGCTCACTCAGAGGGGGTTGATGTTCTGTGCTATTTTGCTGCACCCGTTCTGCCTGAAGTGCTAGACTAGCGCAGTGCTTCCTGTTAGGTATCGTCAGAGCCAAAACGTGGCTTCAATTCTGGCCATGATTAGAAATGCTGTTGTGCCTTGCATTTGCCAAAATGGACAAAGCGCCATCCCTTTGTCCTTATCAAGTATGGAGCACTATGGTGTCTGGTGCGGTTGTAGAAAGCATAGCAGACATCTTTCCCTTGGCTGGTTTAGTCAGTGTTTGATACACCCACCACTGGAAGTCCTCTTGCAGTACATCAGTCAGAGCCACACAGTCAAGAGTAGCTTCCAACTCCTTTCCTCAGCCCTGAGACTGTTATGCAGTGAACCTTGCAGCACACAAAGTACTTGGTCCACGGCAACGATCCTGTTGCTGTTTTCATTGTTTTGACACCTGCGATCCATGATTTGAAAAGCAAAAATGATGCGCCAAGGTATAAAATAATGAAAGCATTTCACTGATTGCGCTGCCGCGCTGCCGGGATGCGAAGGATCCCCTCTGCCTATTTGGCGCCTCAAATCCCACTGGGTGATCAAGACTGTGACAAGGAAGTCATAACTCGTTTTTTCCCCTTAGCTAGCAATTGTTTTTCCAATTGTTGACATGGACTGCAAATGTACGGGCAACCAGCGAATGTTCCTGTGGCCTGATATCCCAGGCTATTATGTTCTGTGAGCCATGTCATCCCTTGTGCTCTGTTTGGCACAGCCATGGGCAGGATGTGATTGACAAATGTACTCTGATGAATTGTGGTCATGTGCATGATAATGTACTGGCTGCGTCGCTGCTCAGTTCGCTCTCAAATCCCAGGGCATCAGTACTGGAGTGCATCGCCACTGCACGCACTTTCAATGTCAAGCTGTACAGTATTGGGTTGAATGCTGCTGCCAGGATTTAAAATTCTGGGTCGAATTGCTGTTGTCCATTCTGCAAGGTGCCGACTGGCGTGCTGCGTTGGCCCTGTGCAGCTTTTTGACTGAAATGGCGCCATAATGCATCAAGTGCAGGGCTGAATAGCTGCTGTTTGTGTTGCAAAATGCGTTTGCAGTTTGCTCTTGTTGGCTGTACTGTGCCGCAGGCTAGTGCTATCCTAGCCAGCACAGTCTTTGTACTGTTGCTAATAGTGCGGTGAATGCTGAAATTATTGCTACAAACTACAAGAGTATAGAATTGGCAGCATGAATGTGACAGTTCCTACCACAGTGGGTGTTATCAAGTTGTGGAGCGTGTGTATGCCAACTGTTGTTCGGTACTGCACCTGAAATGCTGACATCTGCTTTGCTAAACACTGTGATAACATGTTGATTTAGAACTACTAAGTACTGTGCAAAATGCAATAAATCGGCACTATAATGTAGCTGGAATAAAGCGCAAGGCATTACAAATGAACAGAGTGCAGTCAAAGTGCAACCGTGGAATTGATAGTAAATGAAGCGATTCGGGCTTGCAGAAAGTGAATGGACAAGGATGGCTGCTGTGCAGGCTCAGGGGGGGTCTTGGCATTCAGCCTGTGGCCAGAGCGATCCCCAAAAAGAGTGACCAGGAGTTCGTGCAGGGAAGTGTGACCAGAGGGGTCTGAAGGGACGTGAGACAGGAGCGATCTACGGGGAAGAGGGGTGCTGATCGCATCGCTGAGGTTACCATTACGGAGGAGGAACGCACGGAGGTGAGCTGTCCTTGTTTGGCATCTTCAACCTGTGTTGTTTATTAATAGGCCCATACAGAGGCGTTTACCTGCCAACAGGTTCACACATAGAAGTGCCATTTCCATTAATGTGTTCATCAATTTACTGACACTGCCATGAACATTGATGATAATCAAGACAAGGGAGGTTGTGTTCACATGTCTACGTGTTATTCCTGTCAGGGATATTCCTGTGGGGGCATTTTATTTATAGGAAGCTGCTTTTGTGCAGACGTGCACTATTTCTATTGGAATCATACGTTTTCCTTCTCATTCTTCCTCTGTTTCCTTGGTCATGGCCTCCAGTAGGAATTCGACACGCTCAATGTTTTACATGGAATGTGCAGAAATGGATGCATATTCAAAGTAGCCAGTTGTTGAGTTGCATGGGCAAGTATTGTGAGACAGCACTGTCTCAGCACCTGATAGGAGATGGGTGGCAGAGAATGCACCATCATACTGAACCAAATGGGAGAATGGATTCGATCAGCGACTTCTGTGTGCTGAGCTGCTTGGACTGCTCTGCCACAATATCAGCAAAAGAAAGGTTCTGTGCCTTGCAGGCTTGATTTTTCTCAGTATGTTTGCATCCACCTTTCAAATGAACTTAAAAAAAGAAATAGATAGGAAGCTGATTCCGACTTGTCCTTGTTTCGAGCTTGTCAAACTGCATGTAATGCATCTGAGCCTTCACGTCTGGGAAGAGCATTTGTGCTGGCATCAGCAGCATCTGCTGTACCATCATTTGGTTCCAGAGAATGTGAGGATGACAAATGGTTGGAATGAAAATTGTTCAGTATGTTTTAGCAGCATCATGTTGCCTTCTACCATTTGCAAGTGGTGCGCACGATGGGCATGTTTGGTGCACAGTATGCTACAGGCTTGAGATGATCTGTTTCTGCCGTACGTCAATCCCATTCGAACAAGAGACTAGGAAAGTAGGAGACCAGGAGATCAGGAGAAATCGAGACATTTGCATTGCTAGAATGGCCTGCAGGGCAGAGTGTTGGTAGGTGATAGAGCGAATGAGTAATCGTACATACAATGACATCGTCAAACAGCGACCGCAATAGAGCCACACCTCTGACAAACTTTAGTCTGCAGGATTTGGCACATAAATGTTAACTCAACAAACACTGAACCACATTGCATGAGGGCTGCATTTTCTTAAAAGGGTGTCTACAGTTTTGAATTCAATTTCTGAAGTCGTGCAGGCGCAGGGGGGCCTCCGAAATGTACCAGCAAACACGGCACACATGGGTTGGCAGTACAACCAGCGCATCTCAGAGTTTCTTGAGGTCCAGCTGGAAAAGGCCCAGGCCATCCAGCCGCCACAGGATGCGGGGAAAGCTGATGTGGAAGCCTTTGAAAAGCAGCTGGCGAAGGGGACAAGGCTTTTGGCAAAGCATGCCCAGCTTTTCGACATCAGGGACTTCTACACGACAGCGGACGCTCAACAAGGGGCGCAGCAGATATGCGCAGTGCTGCGAGAGATTGCGGAGGTATGTTGAAGGTGTTTGAGTGTGACTCGGATAGACTGAATACTTTGATGTTTGCTTTTGATCGTCTTACTCTCTGACCCAATGTGTGGTCAGCTAATCACGGGATCGTTCAGTGGTTCATCCTTTGAATCGTTTGATTGATGTTGTTGAAGTCTTTCGTGTTGATGTCAAGTTGGTATTCCTCTGCCATGAATCACTTGAATGTGGTCCTGAGATTTGACAGAGATATCAAGGGTCCCTGATCGACAATTGCCGTGACAGCACTGCTGTTGCACTTTTTGGGGTGGTGACAGCTGGCCTTCCAGTCGCAGATGTTTCAAATGCTGTCTCAATCTCAAGCCTAGATTCCCAGTGGACCTTTAACATTTAGCAGGACATCGATTAAGCCAGTTTTGCCCCAGAGAGTAATTGCATGTCCTCAATATGCATATCCAGGATAGACACTACACTGGATGTGCATGCCCTGGACAAGGTGGCCATATCATAGTCAATATCCAAGATAGGGGGAAAGATATGCTACCAGCATATCAATTCATATCTAGGATTTTTTGGGGCTTTCTGACATGAATTCCAACCCATTTGCATCTTGAGGTGTGGAGCCTTCATGAGTCAGTGCTGATCAAGCGGCACGTGCCCAATGAACGTGTATAAGCAACAGATCTCTGCCACTGAGATTGCTGGACTTTATGTTGAAGCACAACCCACATTTTGTTGGAATATGTTGTGATGACGCAGAAAAATAGTACCCAATTATGTTGGAGACCACCTATCAAGATCCAAACTTGAAATCGAACTGAATGGGCTTGTCCTGCTCTTTCTAGCTCTGGCACGGTCATGAGGCAGTGTCGATCGCCGAGACTGTGCCAGAGGATTGGGTAGAAGAGGACAGGCACCTGCTGCAGAGGCTGCTGAATTATATCCTCAATGGCGTGGAGGACGAGGCAGATGAACACGTGCGGCAGTGCTGGGGCTACGCCAAGGCCAAGCACGAGTACAGGCTGAAGTGGGTGAAGGTGGGTGCAGTACTTTTTGTTGTAACCACATCAACATGCGTGCTGTTTTGATTTGGGCTTCAATGGCACCAAAGGCTGATGGAGGTGCGGGTGTGGGCTTTGAATTCATTCATGTAATGATGACAGCGTCATACTGTACGATGCACGGCATGGTGCATTCTACAGTGTGCTGCGCTGTACTGCACTGTGCACTTTGTTGTGCACAGGGCATCGTGTATGCACATATGTGTTGTGGTTCTAAGTACCATATGATGGAAGCATGAACCTGTGCTACCATTGATTCTGAGACACTGCTACAACACCCAACACTGAGTGTGGATGAGGGTGGGTGCATGTGAAGCTGGCGTTGCTGGAGAGAGGCTGGCCCAATACGACCAGGGCGTGCTCTGGTATGTAGTGAGGGGAGCAGCTGAGTGCATGGGCGTGACACTCAATCGTGCTGAGTTGATATTCTTTACAGTGTGCGTATACCAACACAATGTAAGACTGTGTTGCATCATTCAGTTATCAATGCCCCAGGCAGACAGTTGATGCACAGGCATGTCCGGTCCCCAGGATTTCCACAATCGACGAAACAATTAAACGATGCCTCCATGGTGAGAACATGCTGACACTGAGTGATACTGTCACGGATGGACACCAATCAAGATGGGGGGATTGCTCTGTGGACAGTGTCCATGTTCCACAACAGCTGGTGCGAATGTATTGACAGCCAACATTGCCTGTTCCCGCAGGTCGTGGAACGAGAGGAGATCATTGTGGGTGAGCGCATGGCCCAGGGAGGCAAGGGCGTGGTGTTCAGGGCAACCTTGGGCGGCCAGGAAGTCGCGGTGAAGCGGCCGCAGTGGGAACAGGACCTGCCCCTGGAGGATCTGGCAGAGTTCGCCCGTGAAGTGTCCATGCACGCCATGCTGAACTACCACCCAAATGTTGTGCAGCTGCTGGCGACCACCTCTTGCGGCTGGTTGGTCATGGAGCTGGCAGAATCTGACCTGCACACGCTGTGCCGGAAGAAGCTGGCATATGGGGTCAAACTGGCACTGCTGCAGCAGGCAGCGGCGGGGCTGATCTGCATGCACGCGCAGAATCTGGTGCATGGCGACATAAAGAGCAAGAACTGCCTGATTTTCGGGGAGGACCCGGAGCACCCTGTTCTGAGGCTCAGTGACCTGGGGCTGACATTCGAGGTGGGGTGAAAGTGGGGACCCCAGTTGATGCCTTGGTCAAGTCAGAGTGTGACTTGCTAGAGTCCGAAATATGGCAAGCAGTTGTGACTTCAACCTTTGTAGACTATTGACATTGTTTCCGGCATCAGGTGTCACAGCTATTCTTCTCTCCCCGTTTGGCTGCACAAGTTGTTTTGTCCTCATCCCCCCTCCGTGGCTATTTCCCCAATCCCTACCAGCAACATTTTTTCATGTCTTCAGGGGTAACGTTATGACGCAAAAGGTTAGGACACTGCTTTGTTGGAGAATATTCATGGGATACGAATTTAGTGAATATTTGTTGGGTGAAAAGAGAGACGGTGACGAGGGGAACCGGCATGGCCTGCTCATGCTACACTATGCAACACATGTTTTGGATTCGTTTTGCAGCAGCATTTCAGCTGCCTGCTTTTTGTGCCTGGGGAGCTTGCTGCAGATGAACGGTGTGCTCAAGTGTAATGTTGCAGGTACAGAACATACTTAAGTCCTCATCCTCCTTATGTGTTGGAATGTGAAAACCAATTGTACAATATCGGGCAGTGTCGGACATTGCTCACTCATGTTGAGACACAGGCATGGGTCCTAAAAAAAGGCATGTCCCCATGGAAGTATTTTGTCGTTGAAAGCTCTTTTGCTTGCATCCCCCCCACCAGTTGTTTTTCTGGCCAGAGGTAGGTCAGTCATGCAGTAAATCAGTGTGATGGGCAGAGAACGGAGTTTAAGGCTTGGTTCAAGGGGATGACAATGTCACAGGCATTGGGCTCTGAATAGAGCTCTTATGTTCAAGCGCCCTTCTGACGATCTTTTGCGTTCTTGTTGTGCTGTCAGGTGGGTCAGTCGCGCAGCAAGACGATCCGCCGTGGCGGGGGCACGCCCGCATGGATCGCACCCGAGATCTATGATGGCAGGCCTATTGACAAGGCCTCAGACGTTTATAGCTTCGGGGTGCTCATGTATGAGCTAGTCTCTGGCAAGGAGCCCTACGGAGCTGGTAGGAACACAACTGAGTATGCACTGATGGCACTGAAGCTTTCCGAGGCAGAGCCATGTCAGGTATGAGTCCTCGTTGGCACTGTACAGATTGCTGTGTGTACACGTCTTCTTGCATAATGCGTATGCAGTGCAGCATACATGCCAGGCACCTCCACTGGGCATATTCCATCCCTGCCAACAAGTATACCCAACATGTTCAAACCTTGTGCATCGAAAAGTTTGCGCAAGATGCTTTGTACTCCGCATTTGTCTTTTCAAGACGTTACTTTTTTTCTTGCTGCGCAGATACTTGTTAATTTTTCTCTGCAAAGAAAGGTCAGGCGTTGCGTCATTATGCTGAAGGGTTTCTTGAAAATTTTTCGGTATTGTATGTCAAGAAGACAGTATTATATGCCCGCGATCCCTTCTTTCCAATTCCTTGTCATCATCTTTTCAATTCTTTGCAGCGGCCAAGTTTTGTATCCATGCTTTCCCTGCTGACCATTCCTTTGTTCTACCAGGTGCGGCCACAGGACTGTCCCAAGGCGATGTACGATTTGATGCGGCGGTGCTGTGTGATCGATCCGAGCAAGAGACCCACAATGGAGGAAGTGGGAAAAGCCCTTGAACAGATGCCGACCGATGTGGTCTGGGAGGTAGGGCAATATGGCTGCAAAATGCACCAGCAAAATGCACTGGTTCTATGACCTGGCCCTCTGGTGTGCTGCATTGTAGTTGCAATGTGCACAAATAGCAATACTGAAGCATCCAGTGTGTGTCCAAGTTTCAGGAATGGGAGGCCTGTCTTCATTCCGCTATGATCACACGCAGCAGAGTCGCAGTGTGACTTCGCTTGTGGAAGTGTGGCAATCCACTGCTTCCATGTAGTAGGTGATTTTTACAGTTAGGGTGCCATAGCATGGGTTCTAATGCTGCCCTATAAGTTGTTTTTTCAAACACAGGGTTTATGGGCGCAGTTTTTTTCTTTTTCCGATAGCAGCAATGCTGAGTTGCATGAGGCTTTCTTGCGAGTTTGAATGCCTTGAAAACATCTTGCAGTTCTCAATTCCCTTGCATGCACCGTCTGAACTGTTTTCATCTTTTACTCTGCAACAGTACTCTTCATGACATCCGCGCTGGTATACACTATGCAAGTCTTTTTACAAACTGATTTGGAGGCGTTTACATTGATGACGAATGGTACACATTCACCTGAAACAAACTCTGGCAAGTGCATCTTTCCAAGGTCCAGTATGTTGCAATACTTGCAAGAGCGCATCTGCCAAGTACAGTGCTGAGGTACTAGTGTTGTGGTCCATTCATTGGAAAGATGTACTTTTGCCTGAATGCAGGGCAGGGACACGGTTTTCTACAGCTTGCTTCTTGTATGACAGATTAGGGGGTTACATAACACTGAGCTGCAAGCATGACGCAGGGCATTGGTGCACAGAATGTGGAAAGGGAATACTTGAATTACAGAAGAGGACAATTTAGGGTTTTATCCAGAAGGGATGTCGCATAATTCCTGCAGATGGGCCTGGCCTCTGTTGACGATGCCCTTTTGAGACGGCAGCTTTCCCGATATGCGGCGGTTTATGTGTTTATGTGTTTATGCCTATTATTGCTATCATGAATTAGCGTGTATGTCATTGTTAACAAACTCATTACTGTGCAGTGAATGGTGCTACTTGCGCCCCAGCAGGTCCCATGGGAGCCAGACCTGGCTCCATCCCACACTGACGCGGAGTGGGCGCGCACAGCTTCCGACATCTTGGCAGATCTCAAAGACAGCATAGCCCACCTGCCTCCGTTTCCTCTCCCAGGCCAGGAATCCGATGCCGATTCTGCTGGTCAGGCCCCAGGCCCACCAGCCCCATTGGTGCGCAGATTGCTTCTGGATGGGGAGCAAGGGCTCGCCATCAGCAGTGAGCTCCGCAGGGTGGATGGTCAGGTGGTGTACGACCTGCGGATGGCCAACGAGACGGCGGCTCCCATGGAGGATGTGGCAATCAAGATTATGGAGAACTCGTTTGGGCTGCAGCCTGTGGATGAGGTGACCTCTTTGCACCTCCCAGTCTGTTGCAACAGTTAATCTGTACATTTTTTTGGTTCCTTTTCAGATTTTGTACATAGCATTAGTATTAGCGTTGTAATGTGTTTTATATATAGTGACAAAGGCAGGCAGGATCGAGGGGTGGCGATCCCTGAACGGGAATTGTATGCTCGAGTCCACGGCAACGGTTTACAGCCGAGGTAAAAGGACAACAGGCGTTCTGTCCTTTATATTCAGTCCATTCATCAACGTCCTCAATGGAATTCCTAGTGCTTCATCATCCTTTCATGCATTCAGTTGTTAACACTCAATCAGTTCTAGCTGTAACAATAGATTTTGTGTATTTTATATTTTTTATATGTTCTTTTCTTTGTATCTGTAGTGCCCTGATGAGCGCGAACCCAGCCTGCAGCGGCAGATTCTGTCACGGTGGCCTGAACCGACTCAGACACACTCACAGATCTGCAGACAAACAACACCTGCTGTATCACCTGTTTGTGGGAGTTTGCATCACATTCATGTGGTGCAGGTGAATCGGCACTTGATCAGCTTCAACTCCGCTGCAAGTTCTGAATAGAAGTCAATGGTGGCGATGAGCGTACTGCCACAACACTGCCCATTTAGCACAAATTATGTCCATGTTTGAACAGTATTACATCCCTTTGCAGAAAGTCACCCATTAGTAGTACAGTATAATCGAACAGCTGTGTTCAAATGTGTTTGAATAAAGTCTACATACTTTGAAACCTTCTCAAAAACACTTTTGGCATCATGCCTAAAGAGTTCTGTGGCATACAAAGTGATCCTCACATATCACTGGCCAACGAATGAATGAATTTTGTCTGTGTTGCAACGTGACAAACAGCAAGGGAGGAATGGGGAGCTGAGGATATTGGTGTCAATCTGCAGGCCAACAGGATCCCTTGCATTGCGCCGCATTCAGTCCACGCTGTGGCTGTGCCCCTCTGCCGCCAGCCCTCCGCACTGTCAGAAGGTCCTGCCCGTGACACCCTGAACGTCGTTGCAAATATTGGTCAAGCCTCCAGCCTGCTGTGCTTCCAGGAGACCCTGCCAGTGGAGGTGCTTTTCAACAAAGGGGCTGAGATGGATCCAGAAAGCTTCCGTGGGGAATGGGGTGAGTGCTTGGGGAACATCGGCGATTTTGCACGAGTCACTTTTGTGCTTGAACAGACCTCAATGGGTGACAGTATGTCACTTGTGATGACACAGACGCTCAGGACCCTACTTTGTTGACAAATGTGTCTGGGGATATTATCCTGCTTTGTGAATAGTTATCGGTGCGAAAAGGAAAACAGAAAAGATTTGACTCGTGGTGCTTTATACGTAAATGTTTGAGATTGGCTCTGTGGTGACATCTTTGGTTGCCTGTTGCCAACACATGGGGAGCTCTTTGCATGGGCGGACAGATGCGCACAAGCGGTACATCACGTACGTACTATACTGTGTTTATATGTTGCTGGTGTTATTAGTTTATGGACCACATTAAAGATAGCCACGTGAGTTGCTAAAGGCGGCCATGGCTGGTGCTTTTGCCAGGGAAGCTGGGTGAAGAGCGGCAGAAGGAGCAGACGATCGAAGCAACAATTTTTGATTTGGATGCGAGCCAGGCAGCTTTGCGGGATGCCAACATTGCCATTGTGGCATGCTCACAGGTGACTTGACCCCAGTGTATTGGGCTCATTGAAGTGAGGTGCTGAAAGGGCTGTCAGTGCTCTCTGTTTATTGTGATTACTTTGGTTAATTCTCAGTCGCAATGGCAGTGTTTGATGGTCTTGCAGTACTTGAAGCAGACTCTCGGTACTTAATGGCACTGGGTGATTTTGGAGGAGTGGCAAATGGTGGACAAAGTGCAGAGCATTCAGCGGATGAATGCACCTGCTATTTTCGATGTCAATGCCGCTCTCCATGGGCTCCAGGATGTGGTCAATGCAGAAAGGCAGCCACGTTGCCCACCATATTGTGCAGTACGGTTTGTGCAGCAGACTGCTGCACATCCAGAATTTCATTTTTTGGTGTGGTACCGCAGATAGACAACTCAGACCGGGAAGACATTTGTTCCAGGTGTCTAGTGGAGAGCATGTCTGCCCAGGTGTGCATGAGGTCTGAGGTCTGTTTTTGAAGCTCTTCTCGTTGATATGCTGAAAGAGGCATGCATATTGTCTCTTTGCAGAATTCTCCCATGGCTTGGCCTGGTTTCTTCTTGGTTGTCATTTGTTTGGCATTGTGTGGCAGCATGCCTTAGCAATGCATATGTCGTTTCAGAGTTCTGTTGGTTCCATCGGACCTTCTTACAGCTGAGAGTGCAGGAGGCACCACCCTGGTGACTGGGCCCAGTCATCGTGGTTGGTTCCAGAGTGCTCCACCAGCTGTAGTTTCCATTTGTTTCCTTTCAAGTACAATGTCTCGTGCTATTTGGAAAATGAGCATGAAGCTTTGTGAATGATCGCCTGTTTTTAGTTCACTTTTTCTTGCGACTTCAGTCAAATGTACACACCATTTCAGTATTTGAACCATTCTGCGCCAGTGTGGCTTGAGCTTTTTGCATGTCTTGCCAGGCAGCGCATGAGTTTCTTGGGACTGCCTAGTCTCAATTTTAATAGTCGATTTCAAATTCAACAATTTAATAACACTGTGTGCCTGCCCAGGTCCTGCTGCAGCTGAGGTTCCAGCAAGGCATCCTGGGCATTGACTGCACATTGCGGAGCGAGAGACCAGACCTGGGCCCCCTAGTCTTCAGTGCTGTGCGACGCATCCTGAGCAGGTCAGGAAAATGAAGAAGTGAGGAGAAAGTGCTGAAAAACAGAATCCCTGATAGACAGAAATTGGAGGAAACAGAAAGGATGGACGCCAAATGGTGTTGCCCCAAGGCCGGTCCTTTGGGATTGCAGCAAGCAGCAGGGCTTTTGTCCTGTGCCTTTGTGCGAAGTTGACTATCATATCTTGCAGTTGTCAGTGAATCACAGTACCCAATGAATGCACATTTTGTTTTAGAATCAATATGGTTTGAATTTTCAATACGGTTTGTTCTGTGCTATGTGTTCTCACGATGTGTGCAATCGTGTGATGACTATTGGTGTTATACTGTGCTGCTGTGGTGCTGCACTTCCAGTGCAAGTGCTGGAAAGGAAACAGCAGCTTCTAGGGTCTTGGGCAGGTCAGACGTTGAAAGCAAAGACGCTACGATTCACCCTGGAAGAGTATCATGTGTACCACTGTCTGCCACCACTTGTTTCTTTGCTTAGGACTTGTTATCCTGTTTAATTCCCATATTTTTATGACTCTTATCCTGTTTCATTCCCTATACTTTTTATCACTTCTTATCCTGTTTTATTCCCATGCCTTTTATGACTTCTTATCCTGTTTTGATTCCCATACTTGCTGCTGGCTTTGCTGGGAAACACTGTGCCTGAGGTGCATCCCTGCCTGACCAAATTTGTTTTACATTGACCTTGCTCTGTGGCCATGCTTTCCCAAGTCTCATCTCTTTCTGGCCCAACGCACATTTTGTGCTTTCTTTTGACAGTAAGACATGCAGTGCATTCACTCTTTGATTTCTTCTTTGCTCTGACCTGACATTGGCATATTTTTGTGTCGTTGAGGGTACGTCAACCTCATCCAGGCACTGATGGCAGTGTCTACATTGAGGAGAGCAGCGGGCAGGTGGGGCACCAGCTTTTAACAGAACAGTGGCTGTAGAGCACTTACAAAAGTAATTTCAGTTGTGCCACACCCAGTCCACTTGTTTAGTACATTCTGTAGTATTCACTGTGCTAGGGTCACCTTAACTGCTACACAACGGGCGCTGCAGGTTGTCGCCCATGAAGGCAAAGATCCCATGGTCCTGGTGTTGGATGGTGGCTTAATTGAACGGCATGGGTGCCAGGGACATTGTACAACAAACAACTGGGTTCTACAGTGCATTTGTAAGTGAAAATGGCGACAGTACATTGTGTGCATACAGTAAATTCTGCGCATTCATTGTGTTGAACGCTCACCTGTCCCTGCAAAGGGTCAGCACCGCAGTCTTACCCCGTCTTGACCTCACACAAACTACATCAACTTTTCTATCACAGTCAGGCATAGATGCCCTTCACACAGTACTTTGAGTGTACCTGCTATGGTTATTCTCCAGATGTCAGCAACATAGGGTAACAGGACATCACTCCTGCACTCTATGAAGCAGACTGTGGCAGCTTTGCGTGCAAGTTTATTTACTGTTTCCTTTCGGTGCAGGAAATCTCATTGTCTCAGGAGCTCCCTGTTGTCCAGTCTGAGGTACCGTCATCACCCAACACTGCAAGGTACGGAAGAGAGCCAAGGGACCAACTGATGCACAGTACTTAGCAGTGGTGGTATCATGCTTAGAAATGCAAGTAGCAGCAGTGCTGTACTTTGGCGATACGAGCAGCACCGGTTTGGCCAATGCTTTGATGCTTGCAAACGTGGCACTGTTGTACACACAGCAGCCACAATGCCCAGGAGCTACCAACGGCTTCTGTGATCACCGCAGTTATGTGACAGCCTTATGACCACAACACAGCGCCCTACTTTCTGTCCTCTAGCTGCTTTTGCACCTTTCTCTGTTAGTTTGATGTTTCCTTTGCTCTTTCTATTTTTCAGGTCCCCCCCCCCGCGGCTATGTTGTCCCAATCCTCCTGCAGTTCTTTCTTTTGCCATGGTAATTGGCTTAATGTGTCGATAGTGTGCAGCCCAAACCACCTAATGGAAGACTGTCTCGATCTTCTTCATGCCCTTGTACATTTGCATCAGCTGTCTATGTGCATTGTGAAAGAAGCATAAAACTGTCGATCCTTTGGGTGCCTACACTTGCGTTCACCAGCTATAGGGCAGCATGGGTATGAAACACTCCACCGAATGCTAGTGCATCAGGAAGTACTAAGAATATTGCCAACAACTGAGCACATTGTGAAGTACTGAGTATACTGCGAAGTACTGAGTTCACTGCAAACTGCTGAGTCTCAAGCACACCGCACCAGCACACAAAATGTGCTCTTATCATCTGGTCGACTCAGCCAAATCCGATGTTGTGCTGTGCAGGGCAACCACCTTTGACCTCATGGCATCAGCCACCACTGAGGCATCCCCGCCTTCCACGGATGGTTCCAGAACCTTTACTCCGACCATCCAGACCTCGAACTTGGACAGCCAGGCATCAATCTATTCGGAAACTTCTGGACGATGTTCCAATGTGCGAGACCTTTCAACTTGGTTTGCTGCAGTACAGTGTGGTACACTACAGTTTGTGTGTATGTGTGTATTTCCATAAACAGCGTGTCAGCCAACACGGGCTATGTCGCCACCCAGCTCCCAAGAACACACGTCCATTGTTTGTCCCCATGTACGCCCGTGCGCACACTGCCGCTTGCCTCTGCATTGGCCTATTGGTGGTTTGTTCAGACACTCCCCTGCATCTCACCCGCAGCATGCCCACGCCCCTCACCCCCCTCCCCACCCCCCCCACCCCCCACCACACACACACACACACACCACCACCACCACCACTGTTAACCTCAACATCCAGAGGTTAAACCCCCACACAGGCTACACTACAGTGTCACAGTGGGTTGACAATGGTGACCTTGTTGCTGTCAGTGTATTTGGTACAGTGCATTGGTGTCCTTCATGAAGGGGCTTGTGGCACACTCTATCTGACGGCACGTTGCAGTGCTGTGCAGTACACTGGAGTACAATCTACTACAATGCAGTGCAGTACAGTGCAGTACAGTGCATTGCCATGTTCCACGTGCAAGTTGCTTGAGCATTCGTCTGGATGTGACACCAGGCTACAATTTTGTTGCACGCAATAACTCAGCATGTTGAATTGTGTCTGCACCATCCATTCAACACAGTGTTCGCACTGCGGTGCTGCTAGTTGTGACTGTTAGAGTCTCTTTTTCTCCCCTTTTGCAGTGTTTGGATACCCTATGAGATTGCACCTGAAACACAAAGAACTTGTAGATAACTGACAGGCTGCCACCCATTCGGTGCTCATTGCTGCACAGTTGCATCGTGCAGCTGCCTGTGATAAATGCCAAGCACAGATGCTGTACTTTCTGGGCTCCGGCAGTGTGCATTCAAAATTTGGTACCGTTCTTTATTTAAGCACATTTGGGCTCTCAAGGAGATCGTTGTTTTAATGTTACGTGGCTCGGCAAAAATATGCTTGAAAGCATCAAGCCGCTATTTCAAACATGTAGCAGAGAACAGTCATCTGTCCTACAAATGGATATGAGTGTATGCCTGCATTGCCTTAGTGCATTGGAGTTGACTTACTCTTTTACTGTCCTAACCCTTCAGATAGCTTTTCCATCGCCTCCACAATCTCCTTCCCCCTCTTCACGCCGCTCTCCCTTTATGCTGACACAATACTCAGAGCCACTGGATCTGCATTTGGCAAGGTAGGGGGAAAAGATTCAGTACTCTCTGGCAGGTCTGCTTTCTTCTGTCAAGCATCGCAACACAATTGCAAGGCACCTTGGTGCAATAATAGTCAACCTCTGTAATCTTCCAGAGGTCAACAGCATACAGCAGGAAATGCCGTTAAGGGGGTGGCAAGAGTCATGTGTCCAATGGTGCATCACCAGCAGCTCCCATTTCGGGGGCGTTGGCAGGAAATGTGTCATACGACCCAATGTGCGAAGGCCGAAGGCCAAATTTACGACATTTGGCTCATGTCGGCAGTTCTAGTGCCTGGAATCTCAAGTCTGATTTTATTTTTAAGAGTACAAAGACATGGAAGCAAGCAAGCTGCTGGCTGACTATTTAGCAATTGAAGGAGGTGTACGTTTGGCCAGCACCTGGTGTCAGGCTGAGTAAAGCAGATTTCTGTTGAATGAGGTTGTCCCTGATATCACTAGGGAAAAAAGCGCCAAATAACACTTTTGCGGACACGCATAAAACACATTTCAACAAAGTTTTGCACGCTAAGAACACAAAAATAACACAAACCCGTAAACTTTGCACACGTTTGCACACGTGTTATTTGGCCCTTTTTTTCCTAGTGTATGGAACTGCAAATTACATTCAACCACGCTGTACTGAACTACACAGATCTGTAACATTCCACCATCGACTGACCCACAATGTAAGTGACTGACCCACTGACCAACATGTCGCTGCTGCCAGCTCCCCACCACAACCGAGCCCTGCAGACACTGTCGGTGCCGTAACACGTAGCGCCAAGTCGGCAACAGCATTTCGGCCAATGCTGCCGTTTCCAAAGGTGGGACATTAAGCAACTCAGGTATTGTGGGGCAATGGTGTTCATCAAGAGCCTTGTTGATGATGTGCTGAAGTTGTTTTATTGATATTCCTTAATCACATTGCTGATGCGCATGCATTGAATCGATTTAGACGTAGTTGTTGATGTAGAATATTGGGAATTTTCCTAGTGTAGGGTGGTGTTCCGTAGAAGAGGGCAAGTGCTCAGAATGCAAAGGGGTAAACAATTTGCAACTTCTGCCAAAAGAGTCACTTCATCATTCATTTTCCTGTGATGGCATAGCACTGCAGGCACACAAGAAAGAGAATCCAAAGTTTTGGGGCAAGATCATGAATTGAAAGTGACTAATACCTGAAAAGTCCAGTCTTGACGCAAACAAAACGTTTGACAAAAGCTATTCATGTTCGCATGGAATGCTGCACAGAAAGCAGGAACTGGGTCAAACTTCTTTATTTCTCAAAGCATCTGTCTCTGCACCTGAAACTACTGGCAGTGCAAATTAGGCCAAAGGCCAATGCATTCACTATTAAGCCGAGAGCAGTTCATGGTGCTAAGCCCCGTGTGTGGAGGGGTGTAGAACACGAAGTTCGTGCAGATGCTGCCAGTTTTCAACCAGAGGTTTGAAGCTCACTGTGTCGATCATGCAGCCTGTCAGGCCTGACATGAGGTCAACCACCACTGTTGAGGTAAGTGGCTGTGGCAGTTCTGCAATCCTTGTTGGATACCTCCTGGTGAAAGATAGCACCAAAACTGTTATGAAGATGTACAGCTGACTTTGTCAAAATGTGGTACTCAGTCAGTTGCGTGATGGAAGGCACAAAACATTGCATGGTTTCCCCCAGAGAAGTTGCTGTTTAATGCAGCAACATCCGATGTAGGAGTTGAATCGTCTTGCTTTGTTGTCTGTTGTTGACAACTTGTCCAATAACATCCACCAGTTGATATGGCAGTTGTTTCTCATTTTTAGACGAATCCCAGTGCATTGTCACTGCTGTTTTTGCAGTGGATATTGTTAGTGCATTGGTTGTGAATGTTATTCCTTTTGTGGGGATTTACGGCAGCACTTTTTGGTTGCCAGGAGATGGAGCCTGACAGCGAGCGGGAGCTTCAAGAAGCAGCAAAAGCTGGACTTGTGAAGAGGGTGATCGCTCTGTTGGAGCATGGCGTCAATGTTAATGCCACAGGCATATGGGTAGGGGCATATATTGTTCAGTGGCGCGTGGTGTCGTTTCAATTATACCTGATGGAGTATACTTACTTATTGCTCTTGTGCTGTGCTGATGACACTTGTTGAATGGAAAAGTATTTTATGGCAGTTTATTGTAGCGATTCATGTGCTGTGATGCTCTGGCAGCCTCTCAGAATGTTCGGACGCCATTTGAGGGCATGCAATGGCATCTGCAATTCTGCTGATGGTGTTTTTTGTATTTGTGGTGCTTTGCAGTTCGCTGGCACTGCTTTGCGTTTGGCAGCGGTCCATGGTCACGTGGACGTGGCGGAAGTGCTTCTTGACAAGGGAGCAAACATCAATGCCAAGGACAGGGTAGGCACTTGGGCTGCATATTTCAACAAGAACAGGCAGCAGGTCAACAAGTCAGGAAGTCAAATAATCAAGTGACACCCTTTCTGGAGATGTTGAACCACTTGTTGTGACCACCAAGTGCTGCCAAGTACTGAACCTCACACCTCCTTTCCCAAAAGGGTGTTGGTCAACGTCTTTTCTGGCTAGTGAGCTGCTGGCCCAGTAGTTTAGAAACAATCCAGCAGCATGTTGCCCAAATGTTTGGTTAGAGACTGATGTTCCAATATGTTAGCAAATGTATATCTGGATTAAATGAACAGTGTTGCGCCTGATGTGCTTGTACATGTGCCCGTCCATTTTGTCATCTCCAGCAATACTGCATGCAGACGTTGGGTCCAAGCTCTGGTTTTCAGCCTTGTGTTGGTATCCATTTGCAGTTGTCGATAGCAATGGTAGGCAGAAAATGAATTGAAAACTCGACCAAGGCCATCTCGTTTGGGGTTATGTCCTTTCCAGCAACCACTTGGTCTGGCCTGTCCAGAACTGGCACGCATCGGTATGGAAATCCCTTGTCTGCTGATTGAGCTCCTCCAGATCCATTCTGAGATACAAGATACATTTGTTATGAAATCTTATTCAGACACAACTGAATGCGAGGTCACAGTTGTGATAGCTAACTCTTCTACCCTCTGTCCAAAAATGCGTTCTACGATGGATCTGTCCATTCCCAAACAGTGTGAGGCTTGGCTGTTTCATCGTCAGGTGACGGGGCTTTTCCCAAGGCATTCACGAACGTGACTACAAACGAACTTGGCTTCAAAGCAATGCTCAAAACAGCACGCCTGCAAGGGATGAATGCTGAAGCGCATTGTGACTCTGCGCAGTATGGGAGCCACTGGCAGAGCCTGTTGAAATGTGGTACCGATTCTTTCACCAAATAGAAATGTGGCAGAAGACACAAGATTCTGCCCTGTTTTTGTGTGTTTGTAGGCAGTGTCCAGCGAGAATCATGTGCTCGTAAACAAACGAGTGGTGGTGGATTCTGGCACAAGTACAGATCTGTATGTTTAGTATTTCGTTCTGGCATGGTTGCAGGATGGGAATACAGCCCTGCACTTGGCAGCATGTGAAGGCCAAATGGAAATGGTCAAGTTTCTTCTCCAGCGGCGGGCGAACAAGCACATCAGGAACCATGTAAGGCAGACACTTTGTGGCTGGATTTGGCTGCAGTCAATCAATTAGGCGATTGATACATTTGGTAACCAATGAGCACATCAGGAACCATGCAAGCTGGAAACTCTGTTGCTGGATTTGGCTTCAGTCAATCAATTAGGTGATTGCTAGATTTCGTAATCAATAAGTACAGCAATGAGCAGGTGGATTTTCTATTTATGCTTTTATTTCTGAATTGGACTGGCAGTGAGGTATGACGGACTTGACAACCCAACATTCTCTGCAAGCACTACAGACTTGTACTCAGGCTTCCGAGCACTGTTAGCCAATGCCACAGCAGACCTAGTCTGCACACATAGCTTTGCTGCTGCTATCCCTTGATCAACAGCTCGAAGAGGTTCATCAGCGATTTAGGCTTCGTTTGTCTGTTGGACAGTGTGCATGCCATTGGGCTTTATTTCTTCAATTGTCGAGTCGATGGATTTCTGCATTTTGCGTTTCGTGTTCGATTTTGTTTGGTGGTAATTGTGGCTTTTGGTTGCCTTGCAGAATGGGATTCTCTGGGGAGACACTGCCGCGGACGTGGCCAAAAACGAGGGCCACGAAAAAATCGCAAAATTCATCAAGGGCTGGGGAGGATGGCGGGGCGGCTGTGTGAGATCACCCGTCGCGATGTTCAGAACCTCTCCGCGAAAATGAACGACAATGTACTAGCCAAACATGCCACTGTTTTGTATTAGCAAAGTACTGAGATGGGGTCGCATCAGCGCGGCCTCAGGGACTGGAATCGGATGGCTTTCTTCCTTTTTTCTGTTTGGCGTTCTTGCAGTTCAAACTGCAGGAAGTCGTGAAACTCTTCGGGTTTGTGCGCCACTGGAGATGGGCTGCGATCTCTGGTTGGCGAGAATTCTTTTCTTCAAATGGTGCATCTTGTTGGAAATGGCACCGGGCGGAAACTGCTGCTGGCAATATGCCAGCAACTGGCGTGCAGACGGAGCATCTGTGTGCTGCTTCTCGGCGGGATGTTGTGGGGGCGCAAACGGGGACTGACCGTAAGTTCCTCAAGTTGTGGCAGATTGTGTCGCGTCCCCTCAGGCGCGTTCGTGCTGAACGTACATCCCTATGTGGACGCCAGTGGTCGCGTTCCCCGCAATTGCGGCAAGCAAAAAAAAGCGAGTCTCGAAACTTCCCCCAATCATGTCGTGAGAATCCGAGTGCCCCAGAAACAGCTCCCATTCTCCAATTCCCAACTCCCAGTCGACCAAGTTTATTGGACTGCAAAGCGCAGCTGACAAGTGAAGGTGCGCCACAGGCCACTTGCACCAAAGACAAAGAGATTCCGAGTCGTCACAAGGAAATGTTGGCCCGTATTGCACAGTTGCTGCCTGTCAGTGTGATTTGCTGGGCTGGCACTCTTGCGATGCAATTTGACACCAATTGATGCCATCAGATTGACTTTGGTGCCAACGCGGTCAACTCGATCGCGCCACTTTCCACTAACACTGACATTTGTCAAATGGCATCGTTGTTGGCAGCGTCTAAGTGCTGTTTTGTACCAGTGAATGTTGTCCAACTAGAGCGCAACCGTTGCAATGCATAACACTGTCAGTCATTATCACGAAAGGAATCAACATGGAAACAAGAAAAATTGCAGAGATGCGTAAAATGCAAACACCTACTTCAAGTGTTAGTAGCGTGGATGTGGCGCCAACTCTCCATCCACCACGGACACATACACGGCCATAACGCAACAACACAACGCATAACAGCCATAACGCATAATGCAATTGTGGAGCGCTCCTTGTGTCTGCTTAGCATGGAAGCCATCCTCCCAAGCTCCGACACTCATAAGCACTTTAGGGGAAAAGATGCCGCGACCACGGAGGAAGATAAGCTGAAAGCAGCCATCAGCGCGGAAGTATTGCGGCGGGCAACCTGGAAGAACGCTCTCCCCTCCCCTTGAAGGGGGCAGCAGCTGCCCCCTTCCCTCCCCTCCCCGCCCCTCTCCTCGCTTGTAAGCAAGGGCCTCGCATACACTTGCTTAGGTGGGGTTGCCCTTTGCATGACCTGTCTCTTTCTCTGTTTGCAACAAATCTTATCCCTCCTGTACATGCCCTCACAGCCACCACTGCCCGTTCCCTACGCAACACCCGTCTGGCCACCGCTCTCCACCCCCAGACCCCCTCCGGCCCAAAAAAAACTCCCTGTGCCCCCCCGATTGAAAAAAAACGGCCCACCACCTCCCCCAAGCCCCGCCTTCGACCCTCCCCACCCACCCACACGGCCACACGGCCGCGGCCGGCCAGTCCCCCCATGACGGGCCGACTGGGCTCCCTCCGCGACGGCGGCGGATGGCTGGCCACCGGCCTGCGTTCTTCTGGATCGATCGCAGGCGCAGCGGCGGGTCGGGAAGGCGGGCATTGCGGATGCCCGGCGACACGGGCCGGCGGCAATCAGCCTCAAATCAATCCAATCAGAAGCGACCTGGGTGGTGATGGCGCGGCCCGTGGCGTCAAGAGGTGAGGAGGCGATGATTGAGTTCGCTGGGCCCTTGGTTGAGGAGCGGGGGGGTTGTGAGATCGGGGGCGGGAGAGAGGAAGAGGGGTAAAGGGATCGGGTGTGAGATTTGTTGCCAGGAAGGAATGAACAGATCTTGCAAGGGGCAGAAGCCCCTCAAGCCCCTCCCCTCTTCCCCCTCCATCCCTCAAGCACTCCGTCCAAATTTCGTGCGTGTGAGACTGTTCAAATCGGGGTTGGACCGGCGGGGGCTTGGCGCGAGTGGGGTTGCTGGCAGCGGGGAAGGGGGCAGGAGTCGCGCGGGGCGGATGGGGGCCTCGCCTGGGCGGGCCACCCTGTGCGCTGGCTGGTCTCGCGTTCGCGGCAAGGCTGAGGACAATTGCGTTGATTAGTTGATCGTCACGGGACGACGAGGCAAGCCCTTCAGCAAGCTAGCTGAATTGCTTCATCTAAGCTTGCCTTCGAAAGACAAGCTGGCTGTATCCAAATCCACTGATTGCATGCTTGTCACCGCATGACCAAACAAGCCCTTTCACCAGGCCAAAGATGTTGGGCAGAGCTGCGTGTGTGCGTGGTTTTTGATTGTCTTTGTCCAAAAGGGGCAGAGCACAGGCGTGTCCCATGTGAGGTGACGCCCTGCATGAGTTCTTGTGCAGAAGGGGCAGAATGCAAACTGCACAGCAGCCATCATCACACCAACATCTGAGTTCTGTTGGGCAACACTTGAATGTGACTTTGATTCGCACTTATTCCTGGGACGAGGGAGGGATTGTGGACACTGCATCGAGGGATTGTGGATACTGTTGTTGTCAATCGCCGGGTTGAGCGGATGGTGCAAGGGACGCAACGCTGGAGAGTGCTGTATCCCCATTTGTACTGGTAACTGTGCATGCATGTCTACAGCCTTGAAATGTCACATCCCTTGACGGGACGAGTGATGTCCACCTTGAGGTAGTGGGGAGGGGGGAAAGTGGATAGAATGGTCATGGTAATCTGATGGGGAGAAAAGCAGCTCACTGGGGCACCCACTCACTCGAGTCTGAAGGATTAGCACAGCATTTCACCACACACTGGCCACAGCCAGTTGCTGCATGTATCTGGGTTGGTCAGTTCTGCCACCTTGTGAACATGTGCCTTCATCCTTGTCCATGAATTGCTCATGTACACTTTGCCAAAGTGCGTCACAGAGAAAGCAAAGCCGCTTTGCATTCTTGGCACAAATGGAGAGCATTTCACGCAATAATCACCCTTTCAAGAGCATGAATCTTCATAACTCTTTCAATCTCATCATCTTTCATATGGCGAAAATGACATACATCCCCACATGCAGCATGAAAATCACACAGCACTGTGCGGTCCATGTATGGCAACAGCATGTGCTCCCTGAAACTTCTGTCTGTTTATGTCAGTAGCGCAGGCTGGGCACCAGAACTGACAAATTGCTGAAGGTTTGATGGTGCATCGTGTACAGTCTATAGACTATATAATGTGCAACATTACACAGCAACAAATTATTGTACAATCTTCAACGTGTAATATGCAATCTATAGACTGTTTCGGCCACCTGAATTTATGGCAGCCCTGCAACTGATGCCAAAGCTGAATGGCAGTGATTTGATTCGTGTGTGTTTGTCAACCAGGGCGTCTGACCAACCTGCCAAGTCTCTGGGCTCTCCTGTGCAGTGCCAAAATGAGCGAGCGAGAAATGGTCAGGACACCGAAAGGGGAAAGGTACCTCTTGCAGACGGCCCAAGCAGCACCCAGGCGATGGATTGCAGCCAGGCACTGTTTGGTGGTAACTGCAGAGCTGCAGAAGGGGAAGCCGCTGCATTGGATATTCTGAGGCAGGCCATTCCCCAGCTGGGTGCTGATGGATCTCTGCATGGCAGTGGAACTGCAGTATCCTGCATCAAGGTGGAAGAGGCAGGTGGAGGCGAACTGACCAACAAGGTAGTGGTGGGACCTGTGCCAGGCGCTTTCAATAAATTCAATGCATCACAGTTGCCTGCAAGGGTGAAAACAAGCACCAGCACTGCTGATGCCACTGCTGTTGTTGGAGGGCAGTGCTCCAACCAACAAGGGCCAGTTGTTGATGACCCATGCAGGTCAATTCTGGACAGCCTGGGTGGGTCACCTCTTGCAGCCCCCGAGGGGTATGGCCATCAGCGCTCGCAAGATGCTGTCCCCATCAAGGCGGAGGTTGCTAAGGAAATGAAGAAGACGGGACCAGTAGGTTTGGAGGTGCGAGGCAACGCAAACCATGGCCCCCACCCCTGTTGTGGGAGTCTCTACCAGGATGGCCCCCCTGGGCCACTGGGGGCTGGGATGTTGACCCTGGGCACTTCCAGGCTTATTCATGATCCTCAACGCTTCCACAGTCGCGACGCGGAGGCAACACAGGGGATGCCATCTTTCGTGGGTATCCCGGGTAGTTCTGGAGTTATCACAGAGGGTTGTTGCAGCATGGGTGGCAGGTGCAGGGGGTTGGAAAGCGACTGTGATGCTGTGATGAATGCCCCACCAGCTGGGCTGTCGACATTGCCTCAAGGGGCAGAAAATGAAAGAGGGGCCACAGCCAGGTAAGGTTCCGGTCTGTGCTCTGTTGGTATCCAGTGAGGCAGATGTGGCACCTGTGTGTTGCATTGCAGTGGTGCCAAAATGTACAGACACTTTCCCATAGTGCATTCTGTTCTCTGAAGTTCATGCTTTCGCTGCTTTTGCTGTTTGTCTTGTTCTTGCTTTTCCTGTTGTGCATTTGCCCTTTTGCGCTTATTCCTGTTGTGGCTCTGCTCTTTCCATACCTTTTCACTTCTTGTTTGCTGAGTGCAGTCGGCACACCAGGGATGCCCCTGTAGGCAAAGGTTGTAGCTTGTTGCTTTGCTTGATGCAGTCTGGTGTGCTGCCACTCTTGCTCATTTCTGCTGTTGGTGAAACAGCACTGAGACCTCTGGCAACCTGTGGACAGCACCCCCAATGTGGTCGCAAAGATGGCCCAATGTCACTTTTTGATGTTTTTTCTTTGGCTTCCAGTTTAGTTTGTGATGCTTAGTCCTTTGTATTTTGTGTACATTGATTGCCAACCTGTGCATAATCACCCAGTGTGCCTGCTGGATATACGGGATGCTTCAGTTGCACAGCATTTTAGTAGGCAGATGTATGTTGCTCCCTTCTATTGAAATAGTCTATTTCCAATTCCAGTCATTGATGTGTGTCAAATATGCTTTTACCATCCCACTCTTCCTTAACCTCTCACCTACACAATTTCAATGATATCTAATAAATCGATTATTTAATGGCATGACTATGTGGCACACAAAAAATACTGGACCACTGAGCAAGAACACATAAGTGCCCGGGACGCCCATCAATAGTTTCGTGCACATTTCAAATTGCTGACGAATGCGCCCCTTAAACAAGTTGCCTGTTGCATTTTTCTGCAGGCAAGATCCCCCAACTTGCGTGCTGGGTGGATGTTCCCATCAGGCCAGCAGCCAGAACCTGGCCTCCCTGCACCATATTGTCCTGGCCAAGCCAAACAGGCGCAAGACCTTGGTAGAGCCCCGACTGGCTGCCATCAGGTCCTTGATGCGCCGCCCCAGTGTGCGTGCCGTGGGTGCGCGTATTGGGGCATCCCCAGGCATCCTCCACGGGGTTGAAGTATACAAGAGGTCTACAGGCTTGAGGAAGGCGTTCAAAAGTCGGATGGTTTGTAAGGGGCATAAGCTGACTATGGGTACTTTTGAAGACCCTTTGGATGCAGCCAGGGCCTACGACCTTGTTTTGCTGGCATTGCACAGTTCTGCTTCAATCCATAAGCGGCTGAACTTCAATCGGAGCCAGTACTCGCTGTCAGACATTGAAAGGATGCGTGGCATCTGCCGGCGGTATCCATATCTCCCAACTCAGAGGGTCCAACGCAGAGGGTCAACACAGAGGGTTTCATCAATTTTGAACACTAGCAAGAGCAACGTGAGATTCAGGCGCAAAAGACTCCCCAGGGCCTTCTCACATCTCTCTGATCGGAGCATTACACCTGAATGCGACTCAGAAACATTTGCAGGCATTGAGGATGGGATGGCAGATGATTGGTGGGTTGCTTGAAATGCGGACATGTCAATGTGCAATTTGGACCATGCATTGGTGCCCCACAGAGTGCCCTGTATGATCCGTTAGGCACACTTTCGGATGATGCTCAAGCGAAGCCAAATTGCTGAATATCATATATTTACACTATCCCAAGCATGAGTATTTGACAAATAGCTCACCTGTGGCCATATTCCTTTGGCCTGGTCTCTGCCCTTTTGCTCCGGCCCAGTGCAGGTGTTGCCATCTTGTGGGCGCCACCACAGTTTCCATGCCTGTGGTGCATCTGGCCTTCCACTGTCTTGCAGCCACCCATCATTCTGGATGGAGTTTGCAAATTCATGTGTTGAAAGCGGAACCCAGCTATGCAATCTCACTGTGGCATTTAGTGTATTCTCTCTCTTGCCACCTAATTCAAGTGTGTCCTATTTCAGCTGCCTAAAATTGCGTGGTGATGGACAGGAATATGATGGTGAGAGAGCTTGTGGACAAGCCTTCTGTGCAGGCTGTTTGCAAGAGAGCGAATGAGGAGCAAGGTGGCTGGTATTGCGCAGAGCAGTGCGGCATTCAGCCACAACGGTTCAGAGCAAGAATCACTTACAAAGGCTGCTCCTTTCACCTGGGAACCTTCTCCACCATTCAAGATGCTGGAAAGGCAAGTGATCTTGCGAAGCTCAGCTTTGGACTTATGAACCGTTTCCTGAATTTTGAGCCAGGTCAGTACACAAAGTTGGACATTGCACGAATGCAAGAGCTCATGGCGATGAAGATGTTCAGTGATGGAATCTTGGAAGCAGCCCCCTGCTTGCAGGGTGCACTGGCAAGCAAGGCAGAGGGCAAGCCAGAGGTGCTAGACAAAGCCCATCAAAGCCAACTTCAACAGACCCTTGCCCACCTGCTTCAATTGACCCCTGGCAGGCGTCAACGTTACCCTGCAAGAGTTTCCTATAAGGGCCAAGACTTGTACTTGGGAGTGTTCGAAAGTGCTGACGATGCTCAGAAGGTCATGGACCTTGCCAGGCTGGGACTGGGAACTAGACAGAGCACTTTCAGCTTTGATAAGACTCAATACCAGAGGGAGGATGTTGCTGTGATGAGGGACATCTGTGCATCATTGCTGGCCAGACGTTTCAAGAGCGTTGAGGCTGAGGGCAGTGTGGCAGGCATCAGCAATCGCCAGAGGTGAGCAGTGTAAAGCTTATTCTGACCATCCCATCCCCAAGATTGTTCTTGCAGTGCAATTTGGAAGTACTGATCAGGCAGTCCTTGACTGGGAACTGAGAACTTTGTGCAGGGCTTTGTTGTCCCAAGGTGCCATTGGTTTGAATGCACATATCTCATTATCTTTTGTGTATAATTGGTGATTGGATTTGAGTCAAATGTAAGGGCACCACTGCCTGCAAAGCTGTTGTGGCATTCACTATTTTGACAGGCAAAGTGCAATGAGATTTGAACTGCCAACTGCACGGAGAATGGATGGCAACTGAACTGTGCCTGACTTGCTCCCAGTCCTTGTTGTTAGTGAAGCTCCAGCTAACAGTTGGTAATGACTCTCATAGCATTTATCAATATGAGCACCAGCTTTTCTGGGATTGAGCCATGGCGTGTGGCAAGAAGTGAGCCTATGTTTTACTAATCAAAGCAATTGTCCATACATTAACACATTGATGAAATTATTTGGATCACATGGTCAATAGTAATCATAGTCGAGGTTTAGGGCGATCAACCAATAGTTGGAGGATGAAGCAAAATTGGCAGGTGCGATGGGCGGCGAATGGTTTGCGAGGATGCGGGAAGAGTTTGCGGAGGTAGGCAAGCAGTTGGCGGCTCTCGAGGCAGAGAGCGATGTGGAAAACGGCGGGCCCTGGCCATTGAGGCCTCCACTGGTCAAGCCTCTAAGGAGGCCACGAATGTATGCCATGGATTGCGCGAGGCCGCCCAGGCCCTCGGCGACCTCGGCGCCGCGGTCAGAGCCCAACAAAGTGGAATGAAGACGGTTCGTGAACGAGTTCATGCGATGGAGGCGGACCATGCTTGGCAAGAGATAACCATTGAGAGCAAACTCGCAAAGATCAAGCGCGCCATCAAGCGGCTGGACGCGCGGGTAGCCAAGGCAACGCGGAGCCCTGGCACTGAGTCAAACCACCATGCGCGCCGCTTCGGAGGGAGTCGCCGTCGTCCACGGACCCGGTCGAGCGGGGCACGCCCAGGCAGCCGGATGCCGTCGGGCAGCTAGAGGGTGTGCGCGAAAATGTTACCCAATCTGGGGGGTTATGCACCTCAGCAGCAACGGAGGGTTGTAACACCCCCGAAGGTGTGACGACCGGAGCGTTATCGCTACCTGTTGATACCTTGAGCTGGAAAAAAGATAGTATGAATTGGTTTGAATATTTGGATGCCTAAATTCCCTTCGTGCAGTACCTAAAATCCTTATTGTCCCAAGCACTACAATACAAGATAGTGTTTTGAGGCCAAAAAATTTGGAAATTTCGGCTAGTTTTTCGTCTTTTTCGGTACCAGTGATGCCTCCGGTAATGCATGCATCGACCAATCAAGTTGGTTAGTCTGTCTGTGTACATTGAGCTGGTCATAGTGGAATGTGATTGCAGAGGAATGGTGGAAACACGTCTGCTCAAAGATTATCCATGAGATTATCTCATCAGCCTTCATGTTGGAGGCTAAGGATGCGGGACGACCCCTATTGCGGCCTAGGTTTGTACGGCTCAGTAAGTAGCAGTGTTAGAGGAGGAGGAGGTGTGTGGTAATGTGGTAGCAACCCATTGGCTTTTTGTCTTACCGAGTGGAGCTCGGCACGTCGTCAAAGTCGTGGAGGCCATATGCAGAGCGAAGCCAACAGGCCTGAACGACTTCAACAAGCAGGCCGAATGTAGCAAGGCCTTGAGCTCGAAAAATGAGTCTGGCCAAAATGGAGAACATTAACGAATTTGATGACTTTGGCTGTCACATATAAAAGCGTTGGTGGCGGCGCCGACTGTAGCGATCGATTGTTCAGGAGTCTGCTTGCCTCCTTGAGCGCAACGGCCACGTGCCTTGGACGGGACGCAGAGAGCAGCTATCACCACGGGCCAGAGAGAGCCCGGTGCATGCCATCCGGCTGAGGATGACCTCACTTCTACTGGAGAGACCCTAGCACGTGGGCCAGGATACCTAGACGGGTGACCGTCCAACGTCCGACGTGTGACCGTGAAGCTGGACCACGCTAACAAGGTGGTTACGAACTAGAGGTGGTCACTCAAAGGTGCCATCCGGTCCGTTAAATCCGGTTCGTTAATTTTTATCAGTTGTCCGTTAAATTTCGTTAAAGAAAAAGGGAGAAAAATTCAGAAAAAACAAAAATGTTCAAAAAAATCGAAAAAAAACCCAAAAAATCACAACAACTGCGGCTAGTTGAAAATATAGTATGCATAGGTTGAAATAAAATACAAACATACTCTCTAATAGCGAATTCCATAAACTATAAATATGACTAAACCCCAAAAATCCCCAAAAAATCCAAAAATCCGCTAATTTTTGGTTATTTTTTGTCTTTTTTCGTTATTTTCCGTTAATTAACGGAAAATTAACGGAAATTAACCTCTGTCCGCTATTAACGGATCCGGGTGGCCACCTCTATTACGAACCACCGAGGAGACTGCCCAGATCGTCACCTCTTAGTCACTCGTATGGTGGGCCATCTAATGATGGCAGTGGAGGAGATAATTGTGACAATGGTGGTGTATCAATGGATGGGAGTCAACCATCACGTAGAGGTAGGTCACCAGACCTAGGAGTCAGATTTGCTTTCCCTGTCTCTATTGATGTTGGCTTTGGGAGACTCAAAATCCCAATGCTAGACCGATAATCAGGATGCCATGAGAATGCAAGTTGTACAAAGTGGGTATTGGCGATGTGTTGATGGCTACGAGGGAATATGGTGGATGAGGCGAGGTAGTTGGCAATCATATCTAAAAATTTGTTTGACTCATCGATTTCATGTATGAACTTGGTGGAATTACAAGTCTACCAAGGAATTTGCGCACCATTTGTTGTTTGGCGCGAGTTCACGACTGAGTTGTGGAACACATTTGAGTCGCCCACACTTGCTGAGCAAGCCAGATGGAAGTTGCTTACCCTCCGACAACATTCTTCAGTGGAGGTTTATGTTCATGAGTTTCATAAGTGGAGTTTTAAGCTACCTGACATGTCTCGTGCTGAGCGATACTACCAGTTTATTGAAGGCCTCTAGGAGCCCTTGAGATCTACTGTTGTATCATGGGTGCTTGATGACCCTGAGCAGGCCATAGTGACTGCTCTTCGTCTTTCTAGTCTTCAGCAAGGGAGCTGGGAATAATCACAGGGTAAAGGCAGGGGTCAAAGTGACCAATCAAGAGACCGAAGACATGGACATGGGTGAGGACATGGCCAATACCAGCAACAACAGTAGCAACCTCAGTTGATTGGTCAAGATTCAGTCATAGCAATGGAGCAACAAAGAGGCAGACAGAGGTAGAGGCCACAAATGTATGGGAGGTGAGATCGATGCCGTTGTGATAGAGACAAAGGTATATGAGTCATCGAATGCGAATAATGATTAGTGGGACGTATGAGGAGGTGAGATATCCTTGGTGGAGCATTGTGTTGGTGGGTCCACGTGTTGATTGTGTGAACCCAGAGGACTCTCATCTATGTGCGGCGGCGCGAGCCCAACCGCAATGGTGAATGATGATGTTGAGTATGGTGGTAATCATTATTGTGAAAATGCCAGGAAGAACGTTGACTTGTATCCCTCAATCAGTGCTGTGCGGACAGGATCACAACTAAGGTTGACGGGACTGATCAACTTGCATTTACTGGCAGCCAAAGTGTATGGAGTACTGGACCCATTACTGGCCAGGTTACTACTGGTAGAGGATTCGCCAGTACCGTTATGCCCAAAACTATTAGATTTATAGATTGTGTTTTAGTGGGCATAAACCGGCATGCAGTTGAGGCACACTACAACGAAGCACTGCGAAGATGCACTATTGAGATCAGAGCCCGTCTATGTAGGAGTATCATATGGAGATCCAAGGACGGTGGCAGCTGCCAATATTTGGTGCCAGGAATCCCGCACATTGTTGGGCTTTTCAAGGCGGTTGAGATTGCTCCCAAGCTGCTTTTTCATATCATTCTATGGAAAGTCTGTCGTACTTTCTTGCTTGAGCCTAATAAAGTTGCATGTAGCAGGAAGCATGGGGCACATTGCGTCTTCAAACCCACCTATAATAGAGTGGATGGCTAGCAGGATTTGAGGTTGTGATATTCAGAATTGGAGAGGTATGTGGTGGCTTAAAAAGGAACATAGTTGCATGAAGCCACCACAACGTCAAGGCCACCCTCAGTGATTGTCAGAACCTTGAGCATAATATATTCTTCGGTTATTCGACAAGACATTGTGCAGTTACCCGGACTAGTGGAGTGAAGGAAGTGATGGACTCGGTGGAGAATTGGAGAACATAATTCTATGATAGATTGAGTTGTGGTATGGGACATACGGGACTTGGTCTTTCTAGGATTCTGTTTGGTACCCCATATCTTCCGTTCGGCTGGCCTTCTCACATGAGATGTCTCCATGGCCGAGGATGTCCACACTTTGTGGTGGTGGTGGGGAGGAGAAATGATACAATGAGGTTAGATTAGATGTCATTTGATGTATTTGATTATAAAGTGGGACTTCTTAGTGGTCAAAGAGCGAATGTGTGGTTATTAGACGGAACAATTTATTTATTATTTTATAATTGTGTTGTCTACTTCAATGACCACTCGGGGGTCGATTGACTCTCGCTTCATTCCGCTTCACGTGCCCCGGGAGCAAGACATCCGTATCAGCTGAATCTGACATACCTACAATGTTCCATGTAGTACGGGAGTTCTTGCGCTTGGGGCACGCAAAGTCGAATGAATAGGGAGTCATTCAGGCTCCTGAGGCGTTATATTTAAATGCACATCATGTAAATTGTTCAATTTGTCCGTTTCAATGTTGGTTCGTCCCCAACAACTCGGATTCGACCCTATTCACTAATGAGATGCATCTAGATCATCAAAAAGAGGCACCGTATCATATCTCCCCCTCCACCGAGTGTGGACGACCTCGGCCACTAGACAAGCAATACAGAAAACCGGTAGGACAGAAGACACGGTATACCA